AAATAATAAAAGTAATTGAATAGTATTTGTATCATGTAACAGTATGTAGTATTATGTGAAATATAATAATAATTGATATAATAATAATATTATTGTACAATGTGTAAAATATAGTATGTGCATAAATATGAAACAACAATAAATAATATAATGTAATATAATATAACATATTTGTATTTCTTCTTGTGTGTGTATTTGTATATGCAGGTCCAACAGGCAGTGGAAAGACCACCTTCATCAGCGAGTGTGCCCTAGATCTGTGCATGCAGGGTGTCAACACATTATGGGGCAGCTTTGAAATCAACAATGTGCGTCTGGCCAAAATTATGCTGACCCAGTTTGCCAAGCAAAGGGTGGAGGAGAACCTGGATCAATATGACGTGTGGGCTGACAAGTTTGAGGACCTACCACTCTACTTTATGACCTTCCATGGACAGCAGAACATCAAGTAAATTATTGCCATTCCTTTTATAAAAGCTAATACATTGTTTTATTGTAAATAGATATATTGTATTGCCAGTCCTATGGCTCTGTGATTTTTTTTTTCTGTGAATTTTAATTATGTAAGGCTTTAAAAAAATAATAATAATAATCAAATGACTTTTATATTTGCACCCTGCACAGGACTGTTTTGGATACCATGCAGCATGCCGTTTACCTGTATGACATCAGTCATGTGATCATTGATAACCTGCAGTTTATGATGGGCCAGGAGAATCTGTCTGTGGACAAGTAAGGCAACAATTTTAATATGCTCTTTATTTAACAGAGTTTCTATGGTCCTGAAAAACCTGGAAGTATTGGAGAATTTCAAAACCGTGATTTCCAGACTTGGAGAAGTATAAAATTATAAAATCTTGAATGGTCATGGAAATTCTGTAGTCAATAATAATTTTTCTAGTAATGCTCAGTTATTCTTTGTGAGTCAGATTTCTATAAAAGGATTTCTTAAAGTGCCCCTATTATGCCCTTTTTAAGGTTCCTAATATTGTTTTGGGAGTCTCCTACAATAGGTTTACATGCATGCAAGGTCAAAAAACGTTTTCTCAAAACATGTATTTAATATCACCTCATTTTCCAGCGATTCTCAAACAATTTGTTTGAAGCAGTTCTAAGATTCAGTCTCTCTAAACTCCTCCTTTCCGTAAACCTACTCTGCTCTGATTGGTCAGATGGCCCAGTCTGTTGTGATTGTTCTACTGCGTACAGTGCATGTCAGAAACGATACACCCATTGTCATAGTTCTATATTTTGAACGCTTGCTAGAAAATATAAAGATCTATTATAAAGATCTATTCAGACCAGATGGTGGATCAGCACCTAGAAAGGACCTCCACAGCCCTGAAAGACAGCGGAGACCAGGACAACTAGATGAGCCCCAGATACAGATCCCCTGTAAAGACCTTGTCTCAGACGACCACCGGGACAAGACCACAGGAACCAGATGAGTCCTCTGCACAATGTGACATTGCTGCAGCCTGGAATTGAACTGCTGGTTCGTCTGGTCAGAGGAGAACTGCCCCCCCGACTGAGCCTGGTTTCTCCCAAGGTTTTTTCTCCATTCTGTCACCGATGGAGTTTTGGTTCCTTGCCACTGTCGCCTCTGGCTTGCTTAGTTGGGGACACTTCATTTCCAGCGATATCGTTGACTTGATTGCAAATGATTGCAAAGATACTATTTAAACTGAACTGAGCTGGATGTTGACATCACTGAATTCAATGATGAACTGTCTTTAACTGAAAAATTAGTGTTTACTATTGTCATTTTGCATTATTGACACACTATTTTCCTAATTAATGCTGTTCAGTTGCTTTGACACAATCTGTATTGTTAAAAGCGCTATATAAATAAAGGTGACTTGACTTGACTTGACTATTATTTATCATACTTCCAGGTTGTGATTCAGTGGAGCCAGCTGGTCCAAATAAACTGGGTACTGAACCATCTTTCAAGAGCAAACGATTTGTGAATCCCACGTTAAACTTTGCGAGATTAGAGAAGCAGTCATCAGTAAAATGACGGGAACACACACTCAAAAAAAAGATTGGGGTTGTACTGCTGTGAATTTTAACCGCTGATTCTTTGCAACCTCATTTTTGGAAGTGAAATTAAAATAAATGTACTTTCACAGCGTAGGACACAGGGTCTTCTCGACATGATGTTAACCAAACTAACAAGCTAGAAGTGGGATTTGAATTACTGACGACTTGTTTAGGCTGTTCAGAGTCGATTCTTTCTTTTGGGAGACGATAACTTTATTTATCGGGCACTTTCAGCTTTACAACTTTGCAGATCGTTTACATTCACATACAGCTACATTACACACTGCATGAAAGGCAATATTTGAAATGGCATGATAGGGGCACTTTAAAAAGTGATCTTATCTACAGTGTATATATAGAGAGTAGGGCTGCACCCTAATAGTCGACTAATCGTTAGTCGACCAGAAGAGGCTTGGTCGACCAAAATTTTATTAGTCGCAGAAAAAATAATAACAATAATCCACAGGCGAAGTCACGCAGTCCGTGACTAACAGATCATTAACGGCTAGTCTATGGTAACACAGTACATCAGGCAGGACATCCAAACGCTCGCCTATCATTCATCGACCTCAAATATGGCTTATCATCTGAAGTGAGTGATGTCAGAACAAAAGAAAAACACTAGTTTATCAAAATATTAAAATGTTAATGCAGTCTCCGTACTGTTTTTCCCTGACACATTCATAATCATTACTTCTGCGGTGCGCTGTGGCAAGCTTTATGCATGTGCTTGAGCGCTTATTAGGCTATGTAGGCAATTAAAGACTCATAATAATGATTTAAATGGTTTATTAATAAACGTGCGATTAGTCAACTAATGCTTAAAATTAACGACTACTAGTCGACCAGAAAAATCCTTAGTCGAGGACAGCCCTAATAGAGAGAAAGAGAGAGAACTGGATAACCAAATGTCTTTTTATTCCTCAGGTTTGCAGTACAAGACCACATAATTGGAGCCTTCAGGAAGTTTGCCACAAACAGCTGCTGTCATGTGACTTTAATTATCCACCCTCGGAAAGAAGAGGATGATAAAGAACTGCAGACAGCATCCATCTTTGGCACAGCCAAGGTTGGTAGATACAGACTGTGCCCACATGTGTATTCCTTGAGATACAGATTTCTACATGTACATGTTTAGTTTTGCATGCGCTTGAGCGCTTATTAGGCTATGTAGGCAATTAAAGGCTCATTATTATGATTTATATGGTTTATAAATAAAAGTGCGACTAATAGTCAACTAATGCTTAAAATTAACGACTACTAGTCGACCAGAAAAATCCTTAGTCGAGGACAGCCCTAATAGAGAGAAAGAGAGAGAACTGGATAACCAAATGTCTTTTTATTCCTCAGGTTTGCAGTACAAGACCACATAATTGGAGCCTTCAGGAAGTTTGCCACAAACAGCTGCTGTCATGTGACTTTAATTATCCACCCTCGGAAAGAAGAGGATGATAAAGAACTGCAGACAGCATCCATCTTTGGCACAGCCAAGGTTGGTAGATACAGACTGTGCCCACATGTGTATTCCTTGAGATACAGATTTCTACATGTACATGTTTAGTTTCTATCTATAAGAAAATCTAATGTATCTATCTATAAGAAGTCTAATGTATCATTTCCCCCATATCAGGCCAGTCAGGAGGCAGATAACGTGCTCATCCTTCAGGAGAAGAAGTTGGTGACGTGTCCAGGCCGTAGGTCCCTTCAGGTGTCCAAGAACCGCTTTGATGGGGACGTGGGGATCTTTCCTTTAGAATTTAATAAAGCCTCGCTTACCTTCTC